TAACATACCTGTCACCGTAACATACCTGTCACCATATGATATACTGAAATACTACAGTCAGGATGATATATTGAGGCCTATGGCGGTCCTGATGTAGACCTACTGTTAGTCTGCAGCAGTCCTGATGTAGACCTACTGTTAGTCTGCAGCAGTCCTGATGTAGACCTACTGTTAGTCTGCAGCAGTCCTGATGTAGACCTACTGTTAGTCTGCAGCAGTCCTGATGTAGACCTACTGTTAGTCTGCAGCAGTCCTGATGTAGACCTACTGTTAGTCTGCAGCAGTCCTGATGTAGACCTACTGTTAGTCTGCAGCAGTCCTGATGTAGACCTACTGTTAGTCTGCAGCAGTCCTGATGTAGACCTACTGTTAGTCTGCAGCAGTCCTGATGTAGACCTACTGTTAGTCTGCAGCAGTCCTGATGTAGACCTACTGTTAGTCTGCAGCAGTCCTGATGTAGACCTACTGTGGCCAAATGTTAAGGTTTGTTTTTTTTATTTGATGCAGTGATGAAATACTTTGTTCTTTGATGTCGTTCTTCTTCAGGTACTTCATTTCCATGTACTCTGTGCAAAGTCCTAGCTGTTCCTCAGTATCATCTGGCCATGGTTGACGGCACCATCCGGAATTTCTGCTCCTACGACTGTGTCTCCGTGTTCAGGGTACGACGCCCGGCGATGAAGACGTTTCAGTCTCACAGCTCGTCACTGACGTGATGATTGAGTGACATGTGATGGTTGACACGTGATGATTGATTGACATGTGATGGTTGACACGTGATGATTGACACGTGATGATTGACATGTGATGGTTGACATGTGATGATTGATTGACACGTGATGTTTTTTTTTTTTTTGTTTTGTTTTTTTTTTTCCAGAAATCTGGGAACATCTCTCAGACAGACCTGACCAATGGAACCTCCTCCCCCAGGGACCCCCCCCTCTCTCAGGACCAGGCTCCTGCAGCCCCTTACTCAAGCTACCATCCCAGTCATACCTCAGTCCCCCCACTGGTGCCTGCCCCGACCCCCCCCTCCGTGAGCAGGGCGGCTGCAGACGTCTCCAGACTGACCTGCCATCACTGCAGCAAACGCTTCAGCTCCAAACCACTGCTGTTCTCTCATCAGGTGGGAACCAGGAGGAGTCATGTGACCCCGGGGGAGTCACGGGGGACTTGTTGCTCACCTGGTCTGTTGTTGTGGTCTGTTGTTCTCCTGCAGGGCCGGATCTCTGTGTTCTGCAGCGTTTGCTGCTGTGAAGATTTCAAAACCCAGAAGAAAGTCCTGGCTCTGTGTGAGTTCTGTAAAGAAGAGAAGGTTCCCTGTGAGGTTCTCTACTACAACCAGGACGACGTGGCTCTGTGCTCCCAGAGTGAGTTTGATCCACCGCTTAGAACCTCAGAGCTCCACTGTCTGTTACTACTGTCTGTGGTCACATGAGCAGGGGTGTAACCATACATGGTACCAGGTGATCACCAAATCAGAGCTGGGTCAGATCCCATCACCAACTGACATGGTCTGTGACCCTCACCAACTGACATGGTCTGTGAACCTCACCAACTGACATGGTCAGTGACCCTCATCAACTGACATGGTCTGTGACCCTCACCAACTGACCATCTCCAGTGTTCTGCTCTGGTTGATCTGCTACAGCTACACAGGGACCTGACGTCTGGGTTTGATAGTGGGTTTTTAGGAGCACACTGCCACCTACTGGACTGGAGTGTGTAGTGTCATGGTCTGACCAGTGACTCCTGGTCTCACCTCTGCCTTGTTTTCTAGAGTGTTTACAACTCTTCAAGGAGAACGTGACGGCTCAAGACAAGGACCAATCGTGGCGTCCGTGCTCCTACTGTTCTGGGATCAGTCAGAAGACGCTGCTCAGTCACTACGGGGGGAAAGTGGAGGAGTTCTGTCGCCCACACTGCATGTCCCAGTACACCATCCTCTACTACGGGGTAAGACTCACTGACACCTAGTACTGATGCTGGTACTGCTCAACGGGGGGTTCGTACAGCTCTGAGGGCGATGACATCATGATGACACCAACCAATGAAATACTGACAGAAGATCAGATTGAAATATTTCTGTTAGTCTTCAAACCAACACTGATGTCACTGTAGTGCACCATATAAAGGTTCCTGATGGATCAAAAGAGCTGTGTTGCTCCCTCTGGTGGTTCCTTTGAGTTAACACAGTCAGTTGAACAGAAAGTGAGCAGAGCTTTGTCTGCGTCCAGTAATCAAACTGTGGTTCTGGTTCTGGTCAATCTCTCTGTTGTTGTTATTATTATGGGATGTGATCTAACAATGTCCTCTCGTCCACTGACTACACCCGTGGTCCTCCTGCCTCCTCATCCTCTTGTTCTTCTTCTCTCCTCTAGATGGCGCGCTGTGACAGCTGCAGGAAACAGGGCTACATGACGGAGAAGCTTCAGTGTTTGGGTTCTGTCCGTAACTTCTGTAACCTGGCCTGCCTCCTCCAGTACTGCCACTATCACTTCGAGCCCAAACCCACCGAGCCACAGACACAGTCACAGACACCACAGGGTCAGCGTTGCACCCTCACACTCTGAGCTTTGACTCTTTAGAACAGACTCGTGGTTCGAGTGTCGTAGCTCCCCCTAGTGTCGTAGCTCCTCCATCTGTCAGAACAACGGTTCTCCCATGGTCCTCAGTTCTTAGGTAGTGTTGCTAACTTCCTCTTCTCACCTCCAGCTCCGCCGCAGCAGCACCAATCAGATGTGAACCCTGTCATAGCTGGTGTCGTCTCATTGGCCAATGGCTCCGCCTCTCAGCCCAGCGTGTCAGCAGACGCTGATCTGACTGGTGGGTGTTTTCATCATTTGTCACCGCCATCTTGGGAGCCATACGATAGGTATCGCGTATCGCGATACGATACGTATCATACGATACGTATCACGATAGGTATCGCGATACGATACGTATCACGATACGACGATATATTGCGATCAGTGTAAATCACCAGTTTTAGTCATTGTCATATTTTCTTCCTCCTTCTACTCATGTACCTCCAGTAAATATCACAGTACTTTTACAGAAATACTTCCATTCACAGGTGCAGTTCCAACGTCCACCACTGACACCAAGAACCTTGACCATGTATGTGAGAAATATATAGTATAATAAACACACACACACACACACACACACGGAGGACGTGACGTGTATCGTCTCTGTTTCTGTGACGACCAGGCCAGTACTCAGACGGACGCCATGCGCGTGCCCGTGCCCCGACGACGTCAAATGAAGAACAAGTCGGTTCTGTGTCGACCGTTCACTCTGGACCAGGAGACCATGTGTGAGCTGCCGTCACGACCACAGGGTAACTGTTACAAACAACACGTTAGCTTCACATGCTACCTGATGAGTGAGGCTACGTTAGGATGAGTCAAGGCTCACAGTAGGAGCCCGCCTCCTGCAGCCTGTGATTGGCTCATTCTTGTACCTCAGACCAGGTGCCATCAAACACTTCCTTTCATGTCTTTGATCTTTTCCCTCTCCCTGGTTGTTGACTTTGTCTCAATAATTGTCCCAGCTCCACCGGACGCCACCGCACAACCGTCCACTGAAGAGTCCACGTCGCCCAAACCGCCGCGAGACCCACGGCCGTGTAACGGACTTCCTGCCCGTCTGAGTGGACGTCATTTCCTGGGCGTGAGAGAGAGCGACTCGGACTGCAGGGTGTGTTCACAACCCAGGAGGAAAAAGATAGACGAGGGGGAGGAGGGGGAGGTGGAGGAGGGGGAGGAGCAGCCCAGGAAGAAACTCAAAGACTGTGAAGAGAGGAGCAGCGCCACCAGTGGACAGACTTTGTATTACTGTAAGACTTGTCCAGGAGAACCCAGCCTCTGTCCTGTGCCCTGCTTTGAGTTCTACCACACCAGGCTGATCTACAAAAGTGCCCTGGAGCTGGAGTCGGCCGGGGAACCGAACCCTCGGAGCCACAGTCCGGTCCAGAGCTGAGGAGGCGTCGACGACCGCTGGCTCCTCAGTGACCTGGGCCTGGACCGGTTCTAGGTCTGACCCCGGTCCACACCTACTCCACATACTTTTCTGTTTTAATCCCAGATTCATCAGAGAATATTTGTAAACGCAGCAGATGGGATGAGAACCGACAACCTGCCGTGGTTCCACCGTCTGTGACATCACGCTGCGTGTTCAAATGAAACCTCCGTCGAAGTGAAGATAACCAGGACGTTGGTCCGTTTTTATCCTCTGTCTCTCCATGACCTTTGACCTCACTCCCTCGCTTAAATAGTATCGACAAAAAAAATGCCAAGAACCTCATACTGTACTGAAAACTGAAAACTTGACAGAACAGGACTGAGTAGTTAGGCTGGAGGGGGGAGAGGGGGGGTGGTCTCTGCTTCACCCCCCCACAGCGGTAACGACATCGTTGACCCGGTGATTCAACAGTTTGAACTGTGATTGTGCTCAGGCTCTCTCACCCATTTACTGGAGGAAACAGCGCACCACAGTGGACAGATTTGGTATGACACTAAAACGACAGCCTAAAGACTCGGTGTTAAAACAGTTGTTCTCTCACCAACAGTGTTAATTATTATTATTATTAATATAAAGACCTTTTGTTGAGCAGTCGCTTTAAAGTCACTGAGGGTTTTTTGTTTTTTTTGGGGTTTTTTTTCCACAGAGACTTAAATGTGAATCTGCTCTTTTCATTAAACAGAATTCCAGGAAGGATCCAGTGCTGGTTCCATAGTTACCAGTGGATGACTGTGTAAACTAGTACAGGTGTGTGTGTGTGTGTGTGTGTTCAGATGTTACTGTAAAAAAAGAATGTAATTTAAATACACACAGGTTCAATTAAATGTTCGTTACACGCTGTATTAAATATATATATATAAATATATATATATATATTATAAACCACTTTTTTATTCAAGTTTCTCAGACACACGTCGTTTGATTGATTTCTACGTTGTCAACACCTGAAATATGGTTTGTTGTTAAATGACAAAAATGATATTTCAATAAATACTTTTTGAGAAAAAATATTTTGAGGGAAAGTGTTAATATTTAAAAATAATCATCAACAAATAATCTCTGTCAACCAGTTAGAGAACAGGAACCAACAGGGGGCAGTACATGTTGTGATGAACAGAAGTCGTGACTGTCGTTGGTTTACGGAGCCGGGGTTTAGAGAAAGAGCAAAGAGCGCCTTCTACAGGTGAGGAAAACCATTTGTTCTCATTTATGAGCAGGAGTCGGCCAATCAGAGAGCGCATACACACTCCACCACACACACACACACACACACACACTCTGACCTGGTGTCCAGTTACTGTCTTTGTTTATGAAGCCTGTCTGTTGTCGTCTGTAGTTCATTTCTCAGACAGCATGAATTCTGGGTAACTTCCAGGTCATATTGTGTTGATATCGTTAGGTGGGCCACCTGGTGGTCAATTGAAATACTACATCTACACAATGCTTAAAAACAAACATTTAACAAATGTAAGGCTTTAAAGAAACCAATATTTCCTGGTGCCCTAGTGGTCAGAGTTGTCCTTGCAGGTGTGACGTCACCACTGCTGATGGACTGGTAACAATTTGTTTTGCTTCAAATCCAGAAAATGTTTTTTGACTGACTGACAGTCGGACCAGGACTAGTACTGTGTGTTTGACTGCCCCCATCTGGACAGACTGAGCACTGACGCCCCCAGTGGGACTCAATAAACACCTGTGGTGGTCGTGTCCCAGGGAACGACAGATGGAGGGTGAGAGCAGCAGAGTCCAAGGGTGTGGACCACTGTGTGTGTGTGTGTGTGGGGGGGGGCAGTGGAGTTTTTGACCTGATTGTTTCCAGGAGTCAAGTTTCTGTTTCCAGGTGTGAGTCAAGAGTTTTGTTCCTTAGTGGATCCAGAGACACGTGACTGTGGGTGAGGCAGGGTGAGGGAGGGTGAGGCAGGGTGAGGGGGGGTGAGGCAGGGTGAGGCAGGGGGAGGCAGGGTGAGGCAGAGTGAGGCAGGGTGAGGCAGGGTGAGGCAGAGTGAGGCAGGGTGAGGCAGGGTGAGGGGGGGTGAGGCAGGGTGAGGGAGGGTGAGGCAGAGTGAGGCAGGGTGAGGCAGGGTGAGGGGGGGTGAGAGGGGGTGAGGCAGGGTGAGGCAGGGTGAGGGGGGGTGAGGCAGGGTGAGGGGGGGTGAGGCAGGGTGAGGGAGGGTGAGGCAGAGTGAGGCAGGGTGAGGCAGGGTGAGGGGGGGTGAGGCAGGGTGAGGGAGGGTGAGGCAGGGTGAGGCAGGGTGAGGCAGGGTGAGGCAGGGTGAGGGGGGGTGAGGCAGGGTGAGGGAGGGTGAGGCAGAGTGAGGCAGGGTGAGGCAGGGTGAGGGGGGGTGAGGCAGGGTGAGGGGGGGTGAGGCAGGGTGAGGGAGGGTGAGGCAGAGTGAGGCAGGGTGAGGCAGGGTGAGGGGGGGTGTCAGAGTCAGGAGGGTAACGCAGGTGGAGAGGTGAAGCTGCAGGAGTGAGTTACGAATTTGAACACTGTCAGATCTACCAGATCCAAAGACGCAGAGACAGCGCCCCCTGTGGTAGCGAGTATTAAAAAGCATTGTTTTTTTAAATGTAAAAATTTGAACTTCTTTGTTTTAAAGAATTGCCCCCTGATAGGAACCACAGAACAGTACCAGACTGACTCAGAGTCCGATCTGAAGAGGGGAAAAAAAAAAAAAAACCTCTTTATTTCCAGCCTGTTCATGTGGTTTTGATGAGGTTTTTCTTTGGTTCTTTATTGGTCCCAGGCTCAGAAGTTCAAGTTATATTTATCTGTATAAACTCAACTGTACTCAGAAGTTCAAGTTATATTTATCTGTAAACACTCAACTGTACCTGATATATATATAGATATATATTTAGTCATGTACATATATAAATATAACCAAAATGTCCTGTATGTGATTTAAAACATTTAACGTTTGAACTGAAAACGCTGGAATGTGAAGGCGTTTGATCTGAACTAGTGAAGGATGGTTAACTAGTAACAACTAAACAGGTCGATCAACGACGACGGTGTGAAGTGAATCCTTTATTGTCACGTGGTACAGATCGTCTCCCACCAGCTGTTGGTGGTTCAATACATGGGGCCAGACCATGGAATGGGACTTTAGTCAAATAATAATAAACACACATTACACCAGCAGTGGTCAGTGACTTTCTGACCACTGACTCAACTCTACCTGAAGACAGAACAGACAGAACAGACCATTTGTCTTCACTCACGACAACAGGACGTTGATCAGGTAGAAAAAAAGTTTAGAAAAACATTTATATTCAAACTGAAGGAAAGACGAACAAACAGAGTGGACTGGTACCAGCAGAGTGGACTGGTACCAGCAGAGTGGACTGGTACCAGTCCACTCTTTACACAGAACTATTTTTGTGGTTTTGGTTGTGATTGTCCAAATAATCGACTTTTAAAGCGAACATCCTTCAGCCCCGGGTCAGTGCTGCCCCCTAGGCCATCTCTTCTTCACCCTCATCCTCAAATTCCCCCTCCTCTTCAGCGGTGGCGTCCTGGTACTGCTGGTACTCGGACACCAGGTCGTTCATGTTGCTCTCGGCCTCGGTGAACTCCATCTCGTCCATGCCCTCGCCGGTGTACCTGTGAGCAGTGAAAACACCCGTCAGTCTGGGGACCAGCGGTGCCACTAGGTGGCAGTACACGCAGACTCCTGGCTCTTTACTCACCAGTGAAGGAAAGCCTTGCGGCGGAACATGGCGGTGAACTGCTCTGAGATGCGCTTGAACAGTTCTTGGATGGCCGTGCTGTTGCCGATGAAGGTGGCGGCCATTTTCAGGCCCCGGGGAGGGATGTCGCAGACGGCCGTCTTCACGTTGTTGGGGATCCACTCCACGAAGTAGCTGCTGTTCTTGTTCTGCACGTTCAGCATCTGCTCGTCCACCTCCTTCATGGACATGCGACCGCGGAAGATGGCGGCCACCGTCAGGTATCGCCCGTGGCGTGGGTCGCAGGCGGCCATCATGTTCTTGGCATCGAACATCTGCTGGGTGAGTTCAGGAACTGTCAACGCCCTTTAAAAAAAAAAAAAAAAAAAAAGACACCACAATTGTTAAGGTTGAACAAATGAAGAAGAAACTCCAAACTCCAAACTGCCCTCCTACCTGTACTGCTGGCTCCCCCTGCTGGTCAGGGGGGCAAAGCCCGGCATGAAGAAGTGCAGCCTGGGGAATGGAACCATGTTGACGGCCAGTTTCCTCAGGTCGGCGTTGAGCTGACCGGGGAAGCGCAGACAGGTGGTCACTCCACTCATGGTGGCGGAGACCAGGTGGTTGAGGTCTCCGTAGGTGGGCGTGGTCAGCTTGAGCGTGCGGAAGCAGATGTCGTACAGAGCCTCATTATCGATGCAGTAGGTTTCATCTGTGTTCTCCACCAGCTGGTGGACTGACAGGGTGGCGTTGTACGGCTCTACGACTGTGTCAGACACCTGGAGGGGGGAGGGCAGAGGGGGAGGGGGGAGGGAGAGGACACAGGAACTGGGTCATCTCACAGGAGAGAAGATATTAGCGTCATGTTAGGAGGCCTTAAATAAATGATGTGCACCTTGGGCGAGGGCACCACGCTGAACGTGTTCATGATGCGGTCCGGATACTCCTCGCGGATCTTGCTGATGAGCAGCGTTCCCATCCCAGAACCAGTGCCTCCGCCCAGGGAGTGTGTGAGCTGGAAGCCCTGCAGGCAGTCGCAGCTCTCCGCCTCCTTTCTCACCACGTCCAACACCGAGTCCACCAGCTCGGCTCCCTCCGTGTAGTGGCCCTTGGCCCAGTTATTACCTGCACCACTCTGGCCTGTAGGGGGCAGAAAAAAAAACAAAAAAACATTAAATGTCAGAGCTGAGGGGTGACAAAGAGCTGTAAATATGGAAAAAAAAAGAAAGAATTCTCACCGAAGACAAAGTTGTCTGGTCTGAAGACCTGGCCGAACGGACCGGACCTCACAGAGTCCATCGTTCCTGGTTCCAAGTCAACCAGCACTGCACGAGGGACATACTTCCCACCTGGTCACGAGGAAGTGATAAGAGAAGTTGACACAGAACACGGTTTGATTCACTGTTATCTTATGACTTTATTTACATTTTCAACTTTGTTTAAAACAGAAGTCCAAAAACATGAACTCCACAGCTGGTATTTCTGGACTAGTTTAGTGACTGTGGACCTGTGTCAGTGGAACCTTCTTCTTCCTTCAGATACAAATGCAGTCTAATCACAAAGAACCAAATTACAGCAGGCTGTTACCTCTGACCCAGGTCTGGTTTCCACCATGTTTGTCCCTGGAACAGCAGGTGAGTGGACTTAGTGAAGCTGTTGCTACAACAACGTCACGCTCACAGCATTATGTTTCTAACTGAGCAGATGTTCACACAAAGATCCTTTTCACCTGACTTTCTAGGATTCTCTTTGTTTTAATTATTTTACAGGGTTTAGTCTTTTACAGTTACATTTACATTATGTGTCAAGTTTATTCTATTTTAAACCCAATTGTTCCTCATAACTTTGTTACGTTCAACTGAAATGAGTAATTACGTTTTATTCTTATTCAAATCATACAACTTTAGTTTTATACATTACTTTCAATCATTTCCCCAGTTCAGATCAATAAAGTTCAACCTTATATGTACTATCAATGTCAACTAATTACACATAAAATGCTTTGAACAAATCTTACAAAACCAAAGGCTTTTGTTTATTTTATTGTTTACAATGATATTTATGGGCAATTAATGAATTGAAAAACTGAACATCGTTATCACGGACCTATTTTACGTCATTTACCTTTTGACATAAATTATACGACGGTATAACTTAATAAGTGTTGTTTAACTTCTTTTTTGGTCAGCTGTAGCTTTTCTTTTAGAAGTGAGGCAGCAGGAAGTGTCCGAACCAACACGCAGACAAAAGCCAAGATTCAAACCGGAAAAGGCGACGGAAGAGACAGGGAAAAAGACAGATTAACATACGTTTAAGTTCATTCCATACATAATGTGTTCGTTTTTCTTGCTGTGTCATTTTTTTGGGGGGGGGTTATGTCGTTGTCTGTACGTGTTTTGACTCAAATGGGTCATAGAAACGAGGACAAAGTAACTAGGAAGTGGAGTCAAAATGGCCCACGGGACAGTGTTAGACCGGTTTCTACCGGGATCATTGGCGCCCTACTGGACGGCTGCGGAAATACAGTGTGGTGTTGAGTTCCCTAGGCTACTTGGAAACAACATAATCCGAACTGCGTGACCTGGGATTTTCACCAAACTGCTGCTAACCTGCTGCCTCGTTGTAATAGACGTTGATTCTCTCCAGCTGCAGGTCGCTGTCTCCGTGGTACGTCCCGGATGGGTCGATTCCATGTTCGTCACTAATCACCTCCCAGAACTGGAACGAAAAAAAAATAGAACGCATGACACATAGTTAAACTCTGATCGACGTGTGCTGTTGCAGCCAGTCCAAACTGAAGTCTTTATTAACACACGGGCTATCATTAGCTCTGCCGCCATGTGAGCTGGTTTAGGTGCCCGCCAAAACCGTCGACATTTTTATTTTAAAGCGGTTAAAAAAAACTTTCTCAAACCTTTGCTCCAATTTGGTTTCCACACTGCCCTGCCTGTAGATGAACGATTTCCCTCATTGTGGTGGTTAAAAAAAAGTTCTTGCACTTCTTAAACACAAAAGGCGTCCGACTTGATCCGCGCTTATAGCACTGACTCACTAAAAAAACCGCCTAACCTGAGAATTTAAGCAGGAGCGTTACGGTCTACAGACGGCAGCCTCCTAGGATTGGAGCAAACACCTGTCATTCAAAACGACCGAAGATTCTTATTGGTCAAGAAAACTTGGTTTGAAGTTACTATTGGCTAGTGCTGGGTGGGATCGTTGTCTTAGTGACATAATAGAACAACAGGGCAAGATGTGGCGGACAGACGCAAAAGTATATATAATCATGTATCATTTATTATTTTTAGTTCATGATTCTGTCTTTCTTTACTAGCCTAAAAAATGGTTTAACGGTTTGTAATCTGAACCGTTAAATTCCATATAAAACTAGTGTTGGTAAAGTAGTATATTATTAGTATTATTAGTATTATATCACAATATTAATTATGAGTTTTGCAGTAAAATGATGACGCAATGAAAGTCTAAAATGCATGGCGTCTGTTAAAGACGCGTTGTATATTTTAACAGTGAGTCAACAACACAAAAGACAAAAGACCTATTTTAACAGTGAGTCAACAACACAAATAAAGACAAAAGACCAACAGTCTTCCAACAGTACACCAAAAATAAAATAGAGTAAAAAGCATTAAATTGAAATCTAAGTATGCATTACGCAGTACATGAATAACGAGTACTACATTGTTTTTATTAAGTCAAGGCAGCGGTACACTATATTTTATTTCCCTAAATAACATATTAACTTTGCTTTCTTCTTTAAATTAATGAGGTCAGGCATTTTTGCCGCCTGCCACGTGACGTCATCTTCGTGCGACTGTTTGTGGGCGCAACATACTGTCATGGCGCTGTTTCCTGCGTTTGCTCAAAGTACGAGTGTCCAATTCGAAGATTCGTCTAAAAAAGGTGAGTGCGATATCGTCTAGGATATTTTAAACCTTAATTACATACAGTAATGAAATGTTGTTTATTATCTCAAGAAGACATCTTGTACAAAACTACAAACCAGCGGGTTTTAGCTGCCCATACGTCTGCCTGTCGTTAAAGCTCAGCGACAAAGTCTGGCTGTGAATTATGTGACTGAATTTTTTTTTTTACCGAAGCATTTTTAGTTTGTAACATATGTTTGTTGTGTAAAAGAATCAAGGACTGACAAAATATTTTAGTTATAGGTTAAAATAGTGCATTTACTTTGTCACAGGGAAGCGTTGCTATTCTCTGAAAAACATAACTACATAAATACTTGTTGTATTATTTGTATTGTAATAATAACTGTAAATCCCTTTTCTGCTTTGGTAGAATTAGACTGGCTGAACAACAAGAGTTTTCAGACCGGAGATGCCCTCTCTCTTCACAGTCGGTTTTTAAAGGACAAAAGGTAACCATGCAGAAGAAACTGAGCTCTTTTAGTTTTTTATATCTAGTGTTTGTCAGTGCTGCGTGTGCAGCTTTCACATTCATGCTCTCTGTTAGCTGAGAAATGTGTAATATTGTGTACACTATTTAGTTACAATATGCATCACTTACACAGAGTTACGTCCACTTTGCTTTGTTGATATTAAAAAAAACTGTTGTCATGTATCAACTCCCATTACTGTAAAAATAATGTTTATTTCTTGAAGTGAAGAGAGAGAAAGGAGCTCTGCGGAGGAGGAGGAGGAGGAGAGGAAGAGTGGGGATGAGTATGATTCCAAAAAAAAGAAGAAAAAAAAGAGAAAAAAGAAGAAAAAGCACAAGAGGAAGAAGTCTGGGAAGTGTTCAGAGAGCAGTGGCTCTGACTCTGAAACAGTTTACCCCAGTGATCTAAAAAAGGAACAAGAGGCCGAGAGGTGCAAACAAACACGTCCATTTGTTCTTAATCCATTCATGAAGACAACAGCTGACTGCTGACCTCTGACCTTCTGGGCTGTTGTGCATTATTTCATTGTTTCAGATCAACAGGTGCTCCACTAGCAAATCGTTTTTCTTGGTTGGATGATCTCCAGTCGCCCCCGAAGAATCCCTACTGCGTGGACCATAAACCAGACCCTGCTAACTGGACCTACAAGTCCTTATACAGAGGGGACGTGACAAGGTAGCAAGTGTACACACCAAATATACTCAACATGTCAGGGGTAAAAAGGAATTGTTGTTTAAGAATTATAATTAAACTGAATCAAAATATAATTGTATTTTCCAGGTATAAGAGGAAAGGCAGCTCAGCGTTGGGTCTGCACCCACAGAAAGAGGGCATCAGCTGGGAGGAGTCATCGTCCAATAAGAAACAGAGAGGTGGAGACAAGAAGAAAGCAACAGACAGATACTACTCTGCAGCCAGTCGTCAGTTGTTAAGGTCAGGAGCAGCTCTTCCTTTGATACCAAAACCTCCTGACTGTGGAGATGATGTCGGCGACACTTCCTTCCTCCCACTGGGTGACACCGAGGGGGAGAACCTCGGAGGACACGCCGGTAAGAATTATGATTTGAGATTGGAGTGAATGTTAGTGCTGATGTGATAATATCACCATGAATCCTCAATAAAAATTCTCATCTGTCAACGCAGGTAACAGAATGCTGACACTCGTAAATCCCCTCGGTGTGTATGACGCGTCCACCGCCCTCTGGCTGCAGGGGAAGGGACAGCAGGACGAGGTCCATAAACTGGACGTAGACACAGAAGTGAGCATGTCTGTGAGTGTCAGGAGAACTGAGGAGTTCAACCGGCAGCTCAGAGAACAGCCCACAGACACACAACTGTGGATCAAATTTATAAGTTACCAGGTAAGAAGAATGTTGCTGGTGTTACCGTCACACTGCTGCTGTTCAACTCATTCTTTTTTTATTTATTTGTGCAAAAAACTAATGAAATGTATAAGAAAACAGAGGCTTGTTGAAATGTTTGAGCTAAAACACAATTAATCCTGGTGTAAAAAAACATCAACTTCACTGAAGTGTCTCCTGATCCCAGATCAATGTCCTCAGTCATTGATCAGTGATTGATTTTCTCCAATATTCCTGGTGTTGGTTCATGTTCTTGTTCTTTTCTTTCTTCTCTAGTGATTCCAAATGTAGATCCCATCATCCTGACTGTAGTATCGCAGTATATCACAGTATATCACAGTACATCACAGTACATCGCAGTATATTACGGTATATCACAGTACATCACAGTACATCGCAGTATATCGCAGTATATCACAGTACATCACAGTACATCGCAGTATATCGCAGTATATCACAGTACATCACAGTACATCGCAGTATATCGCAGTATATCACAGTACATCACAGTACATCGCAGTATATTA